AACCAGTGGTCTTGAAGACATCCAGTGGTCTTGAAGACATCCAGTGGTCTTGAAGACATCCAGTGGTCTTGAAGACAACCAGTGGTCTTGAAGACAACCAGTGGTCTTGAAGACATCCAGTGGTCTTGAAGAAAACCAGTGGTCTTGAAGACAACCAGTGGTCTTGAAGACATCCAGTGGTCTTGAAGACATCCAGTGGTCTTGAAGACAAACAGTGGTCTTGAAGACAACCAGTGGTCTTGAAAACAACCAGTTGTCTTGAAGACAACCAGTGGTCTTGAAGACATCCAGTGGTCTTGAAGAAAACCAGTGGTCTTGAAGACAACCAGTGGTCTTGAAGACAACCAGTGGTCTTGAAGACATCCAGTAGTCTTGAAGACATCCAGTGGTCTTGAAGACAACCAGTGGTCTTGAAGATATCCAGTGGTCTTGAAGACAACCAGTGGTCTTGGAGACACTCAGGAGTCTTGAAGACAACCAGTGGTCTTGAAGACAACCAGTGGTCTTGAAGACAACCAGTGGTCTTGAAGACAACCAGGGGTCTTGAAGACATCCAGTGGTCTTGAAGACATCCAGTGGTCTTGAAGACATCCAGTGGTCTTGAAGACAACCAGTGGTCTTGAAGACATCCAGTGGTCTTGAAGACAACCAGTGGTCTTGGAGACAACCAGTGGTCTTGAAGACATCCAGTTGTCTTGAAGACATCCAGTGGTCTTGAAGACAACCAGTGGTCTTGAAGACATCCAGTGGTCTTGAAGACAACCAGTGGTCTTGGAGACAACCAGTGGTCTTGGAGACAACCAGTGGTCTTGGAGACAACCAGTGGTCTTGAAGACAACCAGTGGTCTTGAAGACAACCAGTGGTCTTGAAGACATCCAGTGGTCTTGAAGACATCCAGTGGTCTTGAAGACAACCAGTGGTCTTGGAGACAACCAGTGGTCTTGAAGACAACCAGTGGTCTTGAAGACAACCAGTGGTCTTGAAGACAACCAGTGGTCTTGAAGACAACCAGTGGTCTTGAAGACAACCAGTGGTCTTGAAGACAACCAGTGGTCTTGAAGACATCCAGTGGTCTTGAAGACAACCAGTGGTCTTGAAGACAACCAGTGGTCTTGAAGACAACCAGTGGTCTTGAAGACAACCAGTGGTCTTGAAGAAAACCAGTGGTCTTGAAGACAACCAGTGGTCTTGGAGACAACCAGTGGTCTTGAAGACAACCAGTGGTCTTGAAGACAACCAGTGGTCTTGAAGACAACCAGTGGTCTTGAAGACAACCAGTGGTCTGAAGACAACCAGTGGTCTTGGAGACAACCAGTGGTCTTGAAGACAACCAGTGGTCTTGAAGACAACCAGTGGTCTTGAAGACAACCAGTGGTCTTGAAGACAACCAGTGTCTTGGAGACAACCAGTGGTCTTGAAGACAACCAGTGGTCTTGAAGACAACCAGTGGTCTTGAAGACAACCAGTGGTCTTGAAGACAACCAGTGGTCTTGAAGACAACCAGTGGTCTTGGAGACAACCAGTGGTCTTGAAGACAACCAGTGGTCTTGAAGACAACCAGTGGTCTTGAAGACATCCAGTGGTCTTGAAGACAACCAGTGGTCTTGAAGACAACCAGTGGTCTTGATGACAACCAGTGGTCTTGAAGACATCCAGTGGTCTTGAAGACAACCAGTGGTCTTGAAGACAAACCAGTGGTCTTGAAGACAACCAGTGGTCTTGAAGACAACCAGTGGTCTTGAAGACATCCAGTGGTCTTGAAGACAACCAGTGGTCTTGAAGACAGCTTAACAATGCTCAATACTACAACAGTTGGAAATCTTTATTTATGAAACGTTTCTCCCACCCAGTAGACTTCTTCAGTTAGATACAGGTGTAGTAGTGAGGTGAAGATGTAATCAGTCCTTCAACCTTGGAGAAATAGTGTTTGGGGAGATCAGTCCCTCAGCCTCCAGGCTAAAGGACTGTACCTACACCTAAACAAACCTACTTAATCCCAGGAAAAAATGATCGTACTTACAAGTAGATGTGCTATCAATATTTACAGGCAGGCTCCCTGGCCAAGCCTTGGCCAGGGAGCCTGTCTGTGAATGTTGCTACGGCATCTATCAGTGCACTATACAAGTAATATTACTGTTACTGTGTTGTTGTTATGGTGAGAACTTCAACTGGATCATCCTGCAGGGAACCTTCCTTGTTACTGAGTTATTATGGTAGGAAGAACTTCAACTGGATCCATCCTGCAGGGAACCTTCCTTGTTACTGAGTTATTATGGTAGGAAGAACTTCAACTGGATCCATCCTGCAGGGAACCTTCCTTGTTACTGTGTTGTTGTTACGGTAGGAAGAACTTCAACTGGATCCATCCTGCAGGGAACCTTCCTTGGTACTGTGTTGTTGTTATGGTGAGGAGAACTTCAACTGGATCCATCCTGCAGGGAACCTTCCTTGTTACTGAGTTATTATGGTAGGAAGAACTTCAACTGGATCCATCCTGCAGGGAACCTTCCTTGTTACTGTGTTGTTGTTACGGTAGGAAGAACTTCAACTGGATCCATCCTGCAGGGAACCTTCCTTGGTACTGTGTTGTTGTTACGTAGGAAGAACTTCAACTGGATCATCCTGCAGGGAACCTTCCTTCGTACTGTGTTGTTGTTACGGTAGGAAGAACTTCAACTGGATCCATCCTGCAGGGAACCTTCCTTGGTACTGTGTTGTTGTTATGGTGAGGAGAACTTCAACTGGATCCATCCTGCAGGGAACCTTCCTTGTTACTCTGTCGTTGTTACGGTAGGAAGAACTTCAACTGGATCCATCCTGCAGGGAACCTTCCTTGTTACTGTGTTGTTGTTACGGTAGGAAGAACTTCAACTGGATCCATCCTGCAGGGAATCTTCCTTGGTACTGTGTTGTTATGGTAGGAAGAACTTCAACTGGATCCATCCTTCAGGGAACCTTCCTTGTTACTGTGTTGTTACGGTAGGAAGAACTTCAACTGGATCCATCCTGCAGGGAACCTTCCTTGGTACTGTTTTGTTATGGTAGGAAGAACTTCAACTGGATCCATCCTGCAGGGAACCTTCCTTGGTACTGTGTTGTTGTTACGGTAGGAAGAACTTCAACTGGATCCATCCTGCAGGGAACCTTCCTTGGTACTGTGTTGTTATGGTAGGAAGAACTTCAACTGGATCCATCCTGCAGGGAACCTTCCTTGGTACTGTGTTGTTATGGTAGGAAGAACTTCAACTGGATCCATCCTGCAGGGAACCTTCCTTTGGGTTACTGTGTTGTTATGGTAGGAAGAACTTCAACTGGATCCATCCTGCAGGGAACCTTCCTTGTTACTGTGTTGTTGTTATGGTAGGAAGAACTTCAACTGGATCCATCCTGCAGGGAACCTTCCTTGGTACTGTGTTGTTATGGTAGGAAGAACTTCAACTGGATCCATCCTGCAGGGAACCTTCCTTGGTACTGTGTTGTTATGGTATAGGAAGAACTTCAACTGGATCCATCCTGCAGGGAACCTTCCTTGGTACTGTGTTGTTATGGTATAGGAAGAACTTCAACTGGATCCATCCTGCAGGGAACCTTCCTTGTTACACAAGCTGGTGTCTTGGTTACGTTGAGGGCTTTAAGAGATATTTGAGTTACTGACTAGCCCCTTTCGAGAGGGCTAAGCCCCTCATAGGGCTGAGGGGGGCTGAGAGTTACAGCCCTCCCTCTGGAAACCGGAGATCTTTCTCCACATGGGTTTTGAAGTCTATCTTACTACACGAGGGCCATTAAGGTTGGTTGGTTAATGGAGTTTGAAGTCTATCTACTACACGAGGGTAACTGAGGTTACAGATCGCCTCTCATGAACACTTTATACCTGAGGGACTGATTACCTAGCATCAAGGCTGAGGGAATGATTACCTAGCATCAAGGCTGAGGGAATGATTACCTAGCATCAAGGCTGAGGGAATGATTACCTAGCATCAGGTAGGAATGATTACCTAGCATCAAGGCTGGGAATGTACTAGCCTCAAGGCTGAGGGGAATGATTACCCTCATCAAGGTTTCTACTGGGAATGATACCTACATCAAGGCTGAGGGAATGATTAATTCTATCATCAAGGCTAGAGGAATGCTTACCATGCATCTAAGCTGAGGGACTGATTACCTAGCATCAAGGCTGAGGGAATGATTACCTAGCATCAAGGCTAAGGGAATGATTACCTAGCATCAAGGCTGAGGGAATGATTACCTTCATCTGTGTAGAGCTTTATCAAGTCATGTTTCACTCTGTGTATAACTTTGCCATAATGACTTGAGCTCTATACAGAGCTCTAAAGCATCTCTGTCTCTTTGCCCACAGAGCTCTACACACAGCTCTGCACGGAAACCATACCACGGGTGGGATTTGAACCCGCGGCCAGAGTCTCAAAACTCCAGACCGTCGCGTTAGCCACTGGGTCAGCTAGCTACAATAAGATTCATCCAACTAGGTATATTTCTACACCATAGGAAGGTTAGCATAGGCCACCACTGTGACCACAAATGCAAGTTTATACAGACGAATCTCCAGCCAGCGTGGCCGTGACGAACTCTAGCTCAAGTCCCCTCAAAGCCCTTAACATGACTCACGAAATCGTAACGACACGATTGCAAACAAACCATACCACGGGCGGGATTTGAACCCGCGTCAGAGAGTCTACACAGAGCTCTACACAGAGCTCTACACAGAGCTCTACACAGAAGCAACCAGACTTACTTTTAAAACACAAACACACACACCACAGATTAACATCTTTATTAAGAAAATAAAACACACGAAAAACACGTTAAACAACACATATAAAACACGTTAAACAACACATGTAAAACACGTTAAGCAACACTAGTAGAACACCAGGAAGAAACACCATTGACTAGGAGCACTTTGTGTGGATGTTACAGCATCAGTAAGGCTGTACTTGTGGAGATTACAGCATCAGTGAGGCTGTACTTGTGGATGTTACAGCATCAGTAAGGCTGTACTTGTGGAGGTTACAGCATCAGTAAGGCTGTACTTGTGGAGGTTACAGCATCAGTAAGGCTGTACTTGTGGAGGTTACAGCATCAGTAAGGCTGTACTTGTGGAGGTTACAGCATCAGTGAGGCGTACTTGTGGAGATTACAGCATCAGTAAGGCCGTACTTGTGGAGGTTACAGCATCAGTAAGGCTGTACTTGTTGAGGTTACAGCATCAGTAAGGCCGTACTTGTTGAGGTTACAGCATCAGTAAGGCTGTACTTGTGGAGGTTACAGCATCAGTAAGGCTGTGCTTGTGGAGGTTACAGCATCAGTAAGGCCGTACTTGTGGAGGTTACAGCATCAGTAAGGCTGTACTTGTGGAGATTACAGCATCAGTAAGGCTGTACTTGTGGAGGTTACAGCATCAGTGAGGCTGTACTTGTGGAGGTTAGAGTGGTTGTCGGATACAGGAATCATGTACCTTTCTGTTGAGTAGCTCTGAGGGTTTGATCCAAGTTTCTAGGTGACGCAGGTACTAGGTGACCTAAATCCGAGAGTGATCTAGGTGTCTAGGTGACCTGGCTTTCAAGATGGTTCAGGATCCTAAGTCACCTGATTACAGACAGGGAATCTTTCAAGGCTAGGGGGAGTGTTTCAAGGCTAGGGGGGTGTTTCAAGGCTAGGGAGTAGCGAAGGTTAAGGCCGCAACACAAGTATTACCATTCGGACAGTTAGTAGCTGGAAGGAATGGATTAAGGAATGATTGGAAGCCATCTAGTAGGATGTATGGAAATTGGCGGGCGGTAGTGGTTGCCGCGGTGGTGGTGGTGGCAGTGGTGGTAGCTGGGGTAGTGGTGGTAGCAGAGGTGAAGGGGTTGAAGATAATGTTTGTAGGGAAGAGGAGGCGAGGATTGTCTGCTTGCCGCCCAGCTTGAGGGATGGGGGCGCAAGAAGCTCTGTTGACGACTTGTGAGACGGTGGCCACGACTACCAGCACGCAGACGACGACCTTCATGGTGGTGGTGGTGGTGGTAGTAGCGCCTGTGGGTGGAGGAGAAGGTTGTGGTGATGAGTGCTAGTGACGGTGGTAGTGGTGGTAGTGTTGGTGATAGTGGTAGTGGTGGAGAGGGCCACGAGATGCTGTCAGCATCCGCCTGGTTGTATCAACAAACTGTCAGGCTGTGTCAACAACTGTCAGGCTGTGTCAACAACTGTCAGGCTGTGTCAACAACTGTCAGGCTGTGTCAACATCTGTAATCATACGACAGCTTCTGTCAGTATATCACAACTTGTCAAGAGAAATTAAAAATGCTAATAAGCTATAGATGATAAGTCAGATTATCCAAGTGTGCAACTATTGGCTGAGGAGAGAGTGGAACACAAGGGAGAGTGGAACACAAGGGAGAGTGGAACACAAGGGAGAGTGGAACACAAGGGAGAGTGGAACACAAGGGAGTGGAACACAAGGGAAAGTGGAACACAAGGGAGAGAGTGGAACATAAGTGACAGCTGAGCCATTAGACATATTAAACAAGACAATACACTAACAGAATAGACATGACAACATGTCTATTCTGACATTACTGACAATTCTCAAAACATGTCTGTAGGAGGAAATTATGATGAACATTATAATTGTAGTAATCAGGCACCGAGCAAGAAGAAGTAGGAAGTGCCCATAAGGGAGGTTGAGGTGTCACAAGTGCCCATGAGAGGTTGAGGTGTCACAAGTGCCGATAAGAGAGGTTGAGGTGTCACAAGTACCCATAAGAGAGGTTGAACGAGGTACCATAAGTGGCCAGGACAGGGGATGAAGAAGGTGCCACAAGTGGCCATGACAGAGGCTGAAGGAAGTGCCACAAGTGGCCAGGACAGAGGTTGAAGGAAGTGCCACCAGTGGCCAGGACAGAGACTGAAGAGGGGTGGGCACAAGTAGGGTATAAGGGGTAGAAAAGGGCACTAGAGGGAGGGAGGGTCTGTCTTACCTGAAGAAATATAGCACGCACACTGCTGAGACGCTCTTAGTGTAACTGCCTTATATACCTTGAGTGATGGTCGTGTTGCCACGACTCTCACACAGCTGGTGGAGTGTACCAGCTGCTTCACCTCCATACCCTCCACCACCTCCTCCACATCAGCCTTTTCTTCCTCCATATCGTCCTCTCCCCCAATATCTCTATGTTCCTCCACCAACACCACCAGTGGTTCAAATAGAACCCTTGCCAGTAGGTCATAGAGAACCCTTGTCAGTGCTTCAGATAGAACCCTTGCCAGTGGTTTAGATAAAACCATTGCCAGTGGTTCAGAAAGAACTCTTGCCAGTGGTTCAGATAAAACCCTTGCCAGTGGTTCACATAAAACCCTTGTCAGTGGTTCAGAAAGAACCCTTGCCAGTGGTTCACATAAAACCCTCGCCAGTGGCTCAGAAAGAACCCCTGCCAGTGGTTCAGACAGAACCCTTCTCAGTGGTTCACATAAAACCCTTACCAGTGGTTCAGAGAGAACCCTTGCCAGTGGTTCACATAAAACCCTTGCCAGTGGTTCAGATGAAACCCTTACCAGTGGTTCAGATAAAACCCTTGCCAGTGGTTCAGAAAGAACCCTTGCCAGTGGTTCATATAAAACTTTTGCCAGTGGTTCAGAGAGAACTCTTGCCAGTGGTTCACATAAAACCCTTACCAGTGGTTCAGATAAAACCCTTGCCAGTGTTTCAGACAGAACCCTTGCCAGTGGTTCACATAAAACCCTTGCCAGTGGTTCAGAGAGAACCCTTGTCAGTGGTTCAGAGAGAACCCTTGCCAGTGGTTCATATAAAACCCTTGCCAGTGGTTCAGATAGAACCCTTGCCAGTGGTTCAGAAAGAACCCTTGCCAGTGGCTCATATAAAACTTTTGCCAGTGGTTCAGAGAGAACCCTTGTCAGTGGTTCAGAGAGAACCCTTGTCAGTGGTTCAGAGAGAACCCTTGCCAGTGGTTCAGATAGAACCCTTGCCAGTGGTTCACATAAAACCCTTACCAGTGGTTCAGATAAAACCCTTGCCAGTGGTTCAGAGAGAACCCTTGCCAGTGGTTCAGAGAGAACCCTTGCCAGTGGTTCAGAGAGAACTCTTGCCAGTGGTTCAAGTAGAACCCCTACCAGTGGTTCAGAAAGAACCCCTGCCAGTGGTTCAGAAAGAACCCCTGCCAGTGGTTCAGACAGAACCATTTCCAGTGGTTCACATAAAACCCTTGCCAGTGGCTCAGAACCCCTGAGGGTTCTAGGGGGTTCACATACAACATGCAGTAGATGTCTTGCGCTGGAGAAAGTGCTCTCGGTATTGATATTCCAGTGATGCAGGTGAAGGAAAGTGTAGATCTTCACATTCCCAGCAGTGTCTGCTGCTGCGCTTTCTGCGGACATGCCGCAGACGACGCAGATTATCTCCTGAAGAAATTTTTCACTGGGCGCAGGAGAGAGCGCACGCGAGCCAGGATGTCAACAAATGTCAGCTGGTAGACTACTCGATATTAGTAAAAAAAATCAATTTTTATTTTTTTCAGGTCATAATTAGCTTATATACTTTTTTAATGTTATTAAAATATTTTAAATGTGTATGTACATATTAAGAAAAAAATGTTTGATTATTAGATTAATTATTATTTTTAAATTTTACATTAATTTGGTTGGTAGATAGAAAAATTGGGCTAGGCTGTTGGGCCTGCCGTTTTTTTGTTTGTTCTTGAAACTAAATGGTTATAACTGGCCATCGGAAGGTCTCGGCCAGATGACCACAAGCTCCAAAGGTGGGTCATCATCTGACTAAGACCCGCGTCAGGAAACACTTGTCCTGTTTCCTGAGGAACCTTACCTAACATAACCTCTTTGCTCTCTAGAGCTTTTCAATCCTCATTCTGTAGTCTCACTACGATCCCCAGTGGGGAGGGGAACTTCTACCTTCTGTAATCATCATCTGTGCTCTTCTACGATATATTGACATCGTGGGAGAATAAGACCAGTACTGGAACAGTGCACGATTTCCAAAGTAGCAGTCGCATCTGCTGTGAAGCTTCCAGGTCAAACTTAATGCGATTCACTTACTTAAGGATGATTGTATTATCGTCTGTAATGACGATTTCGAAGCTGAACAGTTCATCATTACTACAAGTGCTCTCAACGAACGTAGTTCCAGGTTCTGTCTCCTCCAACACTGAGGGCAGAGACATCTGTCTTCAATAAACGACTGGACAAACTTAAAACTCAAGGCATCAGTAGAGGATCAGAATTCTTGGGCCACTGTAGACTCCACCAAAATTTCTTTATTGACGTTACCATGGCAGCCCAAGATTTCTTGCTGATGAGAAAACTATCTTTTATTACTAAATAAATCCTAGTAATATTGAACCTGAGCTGTTTCAACACATCACACTCTCTTGGAACTGCTACTCCTACCTGCACCTCTCTAAGGATTGTCCTGTCAAGGATAAGAAATTCTGCTCGACTTGTGGCTGTGAAGGTGATGACTTCAAGGCTTGCACCACCAACTCTCCTCCAAAATCCCTGAACTGTAAGAGTGACATAGCATTCTTGCCGCTAAATGACCCATGAGGAAAAAACTTATGAAGAAAAACCATGGACGTAAAAAAACATCTATCAAATCTCCAACTTATGCTGCCATTACAAGACTTCAAGCTGCCACCACAAGACTTCAAGCTGCCACCACAAGACGTCAAGCTGCCACCACAAGACGTCAAGCTGCCACCACGAGACTTTAAGCTGCCACCACAAGACGTCAAGCTGCCACCACAAGACTTCAAGCTGCCACCACAAGAGTCAAGCTGCCACCACGAGACTTCAAGCTGCCACCACAAGACGTCAAGCTGCCACCACAAGACTTCAAGCTGCCACCACAAGACTTCAAGCTGCCACCACAAGACGTCAAGCTGCCACCACAAGACTTCAAGCTGCCACCACAAAGACGTCAGCTGCCACACAAGACTTCAAGCTGCCACCACAAGACGTCAAGCTGCCACCACAAGACGTCAAGCTGCCACCACAAGACTTCAAGCTGCCACCACAAGATTTCAAGCTGCCACCACAAGACTTCAAGCTACCACCACAAGACGTCAAGCTGCCACCACAAGACTTCAAGCTGCCACCACAAGACTTCAAGCTGCCACCACAAGACGTCAAGCTGCCACCACAAGACTTCAAGCTGCCACCACAAAAATTCTCAAAGCCTCTCAACTGACGCCCTCCACCAGCAACTCACTCTCTCCCCTACAGATGGCGCGCCTTAAAAAATTTGCATTACATGATGTATGCTCATCTAGCAAATGTTGCACTACCTGGACCCTTCAACACAACTATCAACAAACTCATCAGACTCTAGTTTCACCTTCCTTGAGTCTCCACCTTCAACTGATATACTCAAGAATAATAAAAAAATCAACTTCACTGTATCTGCAGACCTGACTCCTGCTCACGACGTCGTTCCACAACCATGTCCAGCTACTGACAAGACTCCTACTAGTCTCAACAATGATGACAAACCATCAACAACTTCCACCACTGCTCCTGGCCAATCACAACCTTCGTCTCAAGTCTACTAGCCTACTGAAGATAAATAACTATCCGAGGAAGAGGAAGAACATTACTTAGCGCACAAGTGAACCTTACAGCGATGCTAAGAACTCAGCTCTCGACTTCAGGAAGGAGCTGCCAAGATTACCAGCATCCCTGAAGAACTATATACAACTCAAACTGTAATTTAAGCTACTAAAACATTCAGAAAAATTCTTCACAATCAACGTTCAGCTAGTCGACATATCAAAATTAACCTTCAAGAACCTAAAGAACGACTCCAGAAGCACTGCCGTAAGTCTTCACAACTGGCATCTTGTATAGAAGCAAGACGATGAGCTGCCTAGTAGACCTGTGCTAGCTACTAGCCAGGCTACGAGGTTCCAGGGTGTGGTTGTCTACCACACCAGGGATGAAACGGAGGTTGGAGTCTGCACATGGCATCACAATGAAGGAGAAAGGTCAAGCTGGGACTGGAAAATGAAAGTAAGACCGCAGAGAGAGTACCACCGTGTGTGTGTGTGTCTGTGTATGGTACTTGAGGGTACTGGTATCCTTTCCTACTCCCCCTCCTCCTCCCCTCCTCCTCCCCCTCCTTCTCCCCCTTCTCCTTTTACTCTACATTCACAGTCATTCATGCAATAGCGGTCATGCCAGAAGATGCAGGACATGTTCAGAACGAGAATGGTACATGAAACAGGTGGTCAGTCCCTCAGTCTTGATAGTAGGTGGTCAGTCCCTCAGTCTTGATAGTAGGTGGTCAGTCCCTCAGTCTTGATAGTAGGTGGTCAGTCCCTCAGTCTTGATAGTAGGTGGTCAGTCCCTCAGTCTTGATAGTAGGTGGTCAGTCCCTCAGTCATAAACGTAGGTGGTACCAGTTATATACAACCCTAAACCAAATAACAGGAGACTTCGACGTAAGTACAGTGACAAGAACGAGGCTACAACCCTACTTTAAGCAATATAGCAGAACCTGAGGTCAGTTTCGATAAACGACTGTCAAAGAATAAGAAGAATGGACCGAGACTCGAACCGTAGACCTTGTATATAGCAACCCGATGATATAAACACTCAACCAGGGAGTGGATGTTGTCAGGGTGTGTCTATTGTTGACGTGGGACAGGGAGAGAATGTTGAGATGACACCATAGTGATGGTGTCAGTCAACTTACACCATGGTGGTGGTGTCAGCCAACTTACACCATGGTGATAGTGTCAGTCAACTTTCACCATGGTGATGGTGTCAGCCAACTTACACCATGGTGACGGTGTTAGCCAACTTACACATGGTGATGGGTTTAGCCAACTACACTATGGGATGGTGTCACCAACTACACCATGGTGACGGTGTCAGCCAACTTACACGCTGGTGATAGTGTCAGTCAACTTACACCATGGTGATAGTGTCAGCCAATTTACACCATGGTGATAGTGTCAGCCAATTTACACCATGGTGATAGTGTCAGCCAACTTACACCATGGTGATGGTGTCAGCCAACTTACACTATGGTGACGGTATCAGCCAACTTACACCATAGAGATAGTGTCAGCCAA